AGGATACAAGATGTAGAGATCATTGGTTTTTGGTTTCTCTGCCCTAGTGCTTAAGAGTATGGATGCTGGAATTGACTTCTGGGTTCAAGTCCAGCCAATGCCACTTACGAGCTGTGTGGCATTGAACAAATCACTTGATCTCTGTGTCTTCCATTTTTTCACGTGTGAAATAGAGAGAAGAATAGTACGTAGCTCAAAGAGTTGTGAGGATTGAGCCCAAGTAAACCATTTAGGACCTGGCACATGGAAATTGTTCAATAAATACCATTAGAGTAACATATGTGGAACATTAGGAAAAGATGTGCTTACTTTAGATTTGCATAAAAATACTATCTTGGAGCCATTATGATAATCCTTACTGCGCAAGATCTAATAATGCCTCAAATGTTTTTATTTTGTTTTTTCCTCTGTCAGCCACCCTCCTGGGAGGGGGAGAACGCAGGTGCTATGTGTCTGTATAGCTAGAGCTCTCTGGTTCAGTGTAGATGAGACTTACAAGCCATTGGAGTTGACAGGCCTCCTGGTTCTTTTCCTTATCCAGGTGCTGGAAAGCTTCAAGATCATGGACTATAGCCTTTTGCTGGGAATCCACATCTTAGACCATTGCCTCAAAGAGAAAGAAGAGGACACGGCACAAAATGCGCCTGATGCGAAGCGGCCTGGGATGCAGAAGGTCCTCTACTCCACAGCAATGGAATCCATCCAGGGCCCAGGGAAACCTGGGGACGGGATCATCACAGAGAACCCGGACACGTACGTGCAGCCACCCGCCCACAGACCCTCTTGGTTGGGGCAGCCCACATCACTGAGTGACAAAATGCAATCATGTTACTTTCATGGTGGCTCTTGGGGAATAGATTCCTACTTGATGCTGAAATGAACTAAGCCGGGTTTCAGTTCCTTTTTTGTTTGTTGGTTTGTTTCCAGTGAAGATACTTTAATGGAGGGGCTCATAACAGAATTGTGGGTGGGGTGAAGGGACGCAGCAATAGCTAGTCAGGACTCAAAGACTAGTACCACTCCAAGGCACGGGGCAACGGGAGGAGCCCCATGGTCCCTGGAGAATGGGTGCAGAGTGAACCGTGGCTGTGGGACGCAGCCATTGCTGGAACCCTGGACTGAAACATGGAGGGAACAGAGAAGAAATATCTGGGTCTCTCTCCTCTTAAACTCTGCTCTTTTTTTAAATTAATTTTTACATTCAGTATTATTATGTATTAGTTTCAGGTGTACAGCATAGTGGTTAGACAGTCATATACTTTACAAAATGTTCCCCTTGACATTTCCAGTGCCCGCCTAAGCCAGGCTTCATTTCTGTTCCTCTGTGGATGACGGGATGGGTAGCCATTCTTTGAGTTATCATTCTTTCACCCACATGGTTTTTCCGCCAATGGCTCTATTTTTTAATGATGGCTGAAAATGTTTTTACCCCCATTTACTACATATTCCAAACACCCATCATACTTTGAATTTAAATAAACATGTATTTAAGCAAGTACATGATTGGAATTGTGTCCCCAATTAAGAGCTTCTTATCTGCATAAGAGGATTCTGTTGTTCTAGACCTCTCCCCTGGCAGATGTGGTCCGTCGCCACTGCCAGATGTGATAGTAACTTTGGGGTTAGTAAGCTTATTGTATAAAGTGAGTACCGACTAGCAAAAATACTTACAACCAAAGAAAATTATTGAAATGGTTGACTGTATCACATGCATGTACCAGCTGAGCAAGAAGACTGAAAGGAAGAAATCATTTTCCTCAGCTGTAAGTGGCTGCCTTCTTGTATTCTTCAACAATGACTAAACCACAAGCATATTTCACTTTCATAAAGGAAGTTCATACATATTAAACTGTAAAAAAATCCTTGCTTGCATATCTATCTAAATGTCAAACAATCAAGTTATTTATTTTCCATCAGTATAGTAAAATATTACAGTCCTTAAAATATACATTACTTGCCCAGCTGGTGTGGCTCTGTGGTTAAAAGTCATCCTATGCACCAAGAGGTCACCAGCTCAATTCCCAGCCAGGGCACATGCCCAGGTTGCAGGCTCAGTCCTCTGTAGGGGATGTGCCGGAGGCAGCCAATTGATGGTTCTCATTGATGTTTCTATCTATCTCTCTCTCCTTCACCCTTTCTCTCTCTCTAAAACCAATAAAAGCATATTTTTAATATATTTTTATTGATTTCAGAGAGGTTATCTTTGCATCCTGAGAATGGATTCCTTATACACTTTTTCTTTGTGCTTTTCTATATTTTATTTTAAAATCTCATAGTGATCATATAAAAGTGTTGCATTTTTAAAAAGCAATATTTTAAAATACTTTAAAATTCTTGCTCATGGCTTTAAAATAGGAATACTTTTAAAATTGTACTCTTTCTACCCAGTTCTCCAGAGCTGATAACTTGGGTGTCACTCTGATCTGTGGGAACTACATCATGCTGGATTCCAAGGAAAACTTTAACTGAGACCAGGAACAATATGATGAAGGGAGAGAGAGTCCAGAATTCCTAAAGAGTGTCCATTTTTATTTATAGTCTATTTATTAGCAATGACTTTTAACTTCCTATTCTTATATTACAAAATATTTTCTCTTTTGCTTTATCAACAGAATGGGAGGGATTCCAGCTAAAAGCCATAGGGGAGAAAAACTACTTTTATTTATGGGCATTATTGACATTCTGCAATCATATAGGTAAGAAATTGGGGGGAGTCTTTTATAATTTAAAAAAAACTACATCAACAAAAGATTCTGAAAATTCACCAAGTGAGAGGGATTTTACATTCTCATTTTCTTTTTCTGCCTGTTTACACTTAGGCTAATGAAGAAGTTAGAACATTCCTGGAAAGCTCTTGTTTATGATGGGGTAAGTGGCTTTCGTGTTCCTTATTAAATTGTATATCCTTCTGATTTCTCGAAGACTTCAGAGTATGTCTGGAAAGCTGTGTCACTAGACTTGGAGAGGAAACAAGTGTCTTTACAACTCAGAATCAGACTCAGCTTGTTCAAATCTAAGAACGAAGACAACATAACTTAGAACAGCTATCCAAATAGAGGCCATCCAGCCTGGTAGCTACACAAAGGCCAGGAAAGCCAAATTGTCTTGTTTCTGTGTGAAATCTGAAGAAATTATGAGTAAATGGAGACTTCTCATCGGCACTGGCAAGACCAGTAGGACAGTTGGAAGTTCTCACAAGACCAAGCTACAGAACGGGTTTGAACCTGACCTTGATGGTAGGCAGCCCTGGATTTGAACCCTGCATTCACCACTTGACTAGCCATGTGACCCAGACACATTGCTTGTTATTTTGCCTCTCTTAGTCTGATTTCTCACCTCTACCAGGGCAAAGTCATAGTACCTTGTACCTGCCTCATAGGACGAATGTGAGGATTTAATAAATAATGAACCTAACACATAAGGGCATGGGAAGTGAAGGCTTTTCCATTGTTACGGATTTATACATGACTAAAGCTCCCTGAGAAAAGAATGTCTTTTCAACCCAGAATTGGTAGAACAAGAAAATAGTTATCAAAAAGCAGCATCACCACCGCCCCCCCCCACCTCCTTCCCTCCCTCTCCCTCCCTCCTTCCTTCCCTCCCTTTTCCCTGCCATCCCCACCCCTGTGCACACGGGTGTTCCTATCTGATGTTAGACTTGAACTTCCTGCCGCTGACAGAACATTCACTGGTCTCAGCCTCCCTCAGTTAATAACTTGCAGTGACAATTCCAAAGAATACATAGGTCCCAGATTTGCTCACAAAATTGTAAAAGATGTTAGCAGGTGCTTTCCTTTGAAAAGGGATAAATTATAGACACTATTCTTCTCCTCGCACACATACTTTCTCCATTCTGAGGAAGCCTGGTAAGAACCTTTCAGCGGGAAATCTGCATTTTGTCCACAGGACAAAATGACGTCAGTGGGAATGCACTTGTAAACAACAGGTTCACAAGTCTGTTTCTAAGAATTAAAGTGAGGCTTATTATTCAGACCAAAGATTCCTTCTTTAAGTTTTTCCCTTTCAGCTGAGAAAAGTAGGGACTCCATAATGCCTTGAGCATGGAGGGGAGAGAGAGAACACTCCCTCTCATACCCGCTTCTGTTTTCCAAGACAAAGTTAATTCCTGTTACCAGCTGAGATTGCTGATCAGAATGGCCTGGTCCTCTGTTGGTCAAATGCTTCTAAGAGACCCCACCTTTGTCTAGTTAAAACACATCTTTTTTTTTTTTGGTGTTGATTTTTTAAAGACATTCTCTGTGTTTATGTATTTGTGAAATTATAAGCAATAATTAAGATATATGTCTGTTAACAAACGTGCCTCTTATTTAAAAAACTAGAGGCCCGATGCACAAAATTCGTGCAAGTATAGGCCTTCCTTCCCTGGCTGCTGGCACTGGCTTCCCTCTGGCACCTGGGACCTGGGCTTCCCTTTGGCCGCCAGCAGGCACCGGGACCCAGGCTTCCCTCACAGCCCCAGCTTCGTCCAAAAGGTTGTCTGGAAGGACAGCCGGAAGGTCATCTGGAAGGACATCTGGTCTAATTACCATATTATGCTTTTATTATTATAGAATAGATGTTTCTTCATACCAAAGAGAACCACAGTCCAACTTCTCTTGGAAGGCAAAGCTGGGTCTTCATCACCTTGCTCCCTAAGATGTTTCTCAGTTACTGTACTCGTGGGGCATGTGTGTCCACTTCAGACAGGAGCTGCCAGGATACCGGGGGGAGAGCATGTCCAACCAGTGGGATGTTTCCCACCACATTGACAGCATCCCCGATCGTCTACAGGACCCTTATCACTGGCTAAAGAGGGCTGTTCTAGCCAATGTCCTTCATAACAGGCTGGTTACAGAATGACCTCATGCCTCACATTGACACCCTGTTCTACAGACGAAGAAACAGACACACTGAGACACTCTGTTCCCAGGGTCACAAAAGCTTGTGAAGTTAGGACTCACACCAGCACCAGGTCTCCGGGCCTTTGGTCCAATGTGTGCTCTCTCTTCCAGACCCACCGCAGACACTTGGTTGAATCTAAACACATTTTTAGAAGTTTTCTTAGTAGAATACACAATCCTGGAATCAAAATGGAGCATTAAATAAGCAAATATACTATTTCTAGAATATATCTCTTGGGATAGTAAATGATTACTGAATAAACATACAGAATTAACTTCCTACATCAATCTCCTTTCCTGGATTTGTAAGATTTGTATTAAAATGCCCCTTCCATCTTAAAGACTCCTACCAAGCATGAGCAAATTGGGTCAACAATTTAATGCAATTCAGTTCTACCTAATTAGTAGATAATTCAGTGTTACGGCAGTTGTCAGCCTTGTCTCCTAGGCAGCTTCCCAGTGTCAATGCGCCTTATTACTGGGAAATGAAACCAGCACACTTTTTTTTTGCCTAGATATCACTCTTACATTAGGGTTGTTTTGCTTGTTTCCATCCCCAGTTTTTGTTCTGACTAAAAGAGTTCCTCTTCCTTCCAGATGACTTGAAGCACTGGCTGCCTGTCTGTAGAAAAGAATTTAAAAGCCCCTCAGGGCACACCATGGGATAAGGAGCCTTTTGGGTTTATAAAGCAGAGCCTTTTTGCTGTCTCCCACCTGCCCCTCTTAGTACTTTATTTCATCATGAGAATCTGGAATCTTTGCTCAGATTGTCATCCTCCTCCCGCAGCCCAGCTCCTGGGCCCCATGGGACCCAGGCATTGCTCTTTCCGGCTCTCCACACCCACACCTTCTCGTTCAGGGCCTTGGCCCACAGAGAGCCAGTGCATAGATCTTTCTTCGAGCTTGAAATGAATGGTCTGAGAGGTAAACTGTGCTACCTGATTTGTCTTTTCAGGACACTGTTTCCGTTCACAGACCAAGCTTTTATGCAGACAGATTTCTGAAGTTTATGAATTCCCGAGTTTTTAAGAAAATTCAAGGTAAGATTCTTAATAATTTTTTTTTTTTACTTTCAGCACATACATGCTGACTTCAGTATGTGTATCTTTGCACAATTTTTTATTGGAAGAGTTAATTTACTTTCCAGAAGCAGTAATCAATAATATATTAAGTGTCACAGTCAGGTACTTATTGATGTCATAATCATTAAAGTCCTATTTTGTAATGGAAAAGTTTGGAAACTACCTAAATGTTTAACCCTATAATATGTTGGTTAACTAAATATATTATGATATAATCGAGTAATAGAATAATATGCAACAAATAAATATGGTATATTAAAGGTATACTTAGTCCTTATAGATTTATTCGCTCATACTTATTGGTCTGCCCACCTAAATGTACAACAAAATTCTAATGGAATATATAAAAATGTTAAGAGTGAATATTCTCATAAAATATTCTTCAGGATAGTCACAAAACAATTTCAATAAATTTAAAGACTGAAATTATACAAAGAAGCTTTTTAAATCTATTTTAATTATAGTTAACATATAATAGATTAATTTCAAATGTACAACATTGGGATTCACCATTTTTATATCTTATGAAGTGATTACCACAAGTCTAGTAACCATCTGCCACAGTTATTTTTTAATTAAATTTATTGGGATGACATTGATCAACATATTATGATTTTATTGACTATATTCCCTATGGTGCATATTACACTTCTGTGACTTATTTCTGGAAGTTTGTACTTTTTAATCCTCTTTTTTTCTAATCACAATGGAATGAATAAATGAGCAAAAATTGGAAAATTTAAAAATATGTGAAAATTTAATAACACACTCTTAAACTACCAATAAGTGAAAGAAGAAAACACAGGGAAAATTTTTAAAATTTAGAGGTGAATTTTGTGATAAGAATATATATGTAATAAAATAAAATTGCAATACATTAACATTATATGGCATGCCATCATCTATTTAACTATCTTTCATTATTGGGCATTTAAATTGTTTCTCCTTTTTGTTTCTAATTAATATTTCATGAACATCATTTTAGAAAAGTTTTGTGTCCAAAGTTATGATTATTTTTTAAGGATACATTTCAAGAAGGAGGATTAGGGGGTTAAAATGCACATAACTGCAGAGATGGATTATATCACTGTAGGCTTCCAAAGCAATCTGAACCCTTCCAGCCCTTAGCCAGAATTATTCTTTGTAACTTATGCTATGCTGATAAGTAAAAAATGTTATCTGGTTGTTTTATTTTGTGTTTCTTAAGTACTGGTCAAGTTCAATCATTATTCATGTTTATTAGCCATATGCCATTCCCTTGAGGATTGAGCTTTGTGATAATTTGCTCATTTATATTAGATGTTTATTTTTTCAAATGATTTATATGAATTCTACATATTAAAGATATTCCTTTTTTAGCCTTTTTTAGTCTTAAGAAAAACTTTTGTTTCACATTTGATTCTCTCCATGGAATCTTAAAATTGGTCTCAAATTTAGACCAATTAAATTTTCTAAGGTTTTTGTTTTGTTTGCTTGTTTGCCTCAGAGGAACCTTAAGATAGTGCTTACTCAGCCTGCAGGTCTGGTTGACTACCAACTAGTGATCGCATTTTCAAGGAAGATTTTCCACCTTCCTTTACCCTTTGCAAGGCTGGGAAAGCATGACTTTCCGTGGCTGGTAGGTTATGGAGCATGTGGCCCCTGGTGTCCCAGCTTTAGTGAGTTTCCTCCATGAGTCCCCATCTTGGGACGTTTGCTTTCTTACTAGTATAGAAATTAATGCTATAATCTGTGGCATCTCTCTCTCCCCATCCCTCCCCTGGTCTTCCTTCATGTCTCAGTTTAGATGGTGCTTCTGCCATGGAATTTACCATACTCTGCTATGAAAGCTGTTTTTCTGTTTCCCCACTAGACTGTGAATTGCTTAAAAGTGTGACTGTGTCTGATGCTCTCATATATACATCTATATTCCCAGCACCTGGCATATTTCCTGACACACTGTAGGCACTCAATCCTTATTTGATTAATAATCCGACAAATGAATGGACTTTTCATCTACTACCAACATTTCAAGCCGTAGTAATTTAATTAGTAAGACTGACAAGTGAAAGTACAACTTCAGGATGTTTTATCAACTGTGATTAATTTAAAGCCCTTAATGCCTAAAGGCATACTTTGTAGGTGAAAACTCTGCTGTACTAATACCTGAAAACAGTACCTGGTTTTCAAATTTCTTTTTTTCAAATCAGTTTGCTTAACGTTCTTTTAAAAAAAAAAAATTTGATTTGCGAGAGAGAGAGAGAGAGAGAGAGAGAGAGAGAGAGAGAGAAGGAAAGAAAGAGGGAAAAACATTCATTTTTTAAAAACATTTTTATTGATTTCAGAGAGAAATGGAGAGGGAGAGATAGAAACATCAATGATGAGAGAGAACCATTGATCGGCTGCCTCCTGCACACCCCCTACTGGGGGTTGAGTCTGCAACCTGGGTATGTGCCCTGGACTGGAATCGAACCTGGGACCCTTCAGTCCACAGTTCGACGCTCTATCCACTGAGCCAAACTGGCTAGGGCAGAAACATCAATTTGTTGTTCCACTTATTTAAGCATTCATTGGTTGATTCTTGTATGTGCCCTGACCTGAGGTAGAACCCGCAACCTTGGCTATTGGGAAGATGTTCTAACCAATTGAGCTACCCAGTGCCTGTTTAACCTTCTTAAATCCATTCATCTCACCCAGACTTGAGTCATGCAGCCAATGTAATAATGTCTGCAGATTCCTGTAAATTATTCTGGAAATTTTAGTTCCCATAATGTTGAAACCTCACTGAAATTCTCTACTCAGATAATATGTCTAACTGTACTAAAACTTAGTTTCTTGAAATGACTAAATGGTACAATAATTTGTTATATTCAACTGTCCTAAGATTTTAGGACAATAATACATTCATTCAACCAACATTTGAGCACCTATTACATACCTGGTACTATGCTAAGCATTAATAATATAGAAAGTCTGTCTTGAGTCAGGGATTGGACCATGTTACAGATTTATAATATAACAATGGTGAATAGTGTTTTTGCATACACTACTATAGGCACACAAAGAAAAATAAAAGCAGTTCTTCCAAAATAACTTCCCAGAGAGAAGAATTTTTCAACAAAGTCCTGAAAATATAGGCCAATCAAATGTTCATTAGGAAAGGAGGCAAGAAGGGCATCTTGAGGAGAAGGAACGGCATATACAAAGGCCCAGGGGTAGGTTCATGGAATGGCAGATAGGTGAGGTAGAAAGCAGTAGGTGTAGAGGCTGTTGAGTGGCAGGATGTAGGGCTACAAAGGGACATGGGATACCTATCCCCGGATATTGTTTTTAGCCAAAGACAAATCCAGGAGTTTCTGTGGCACAAAAGAAAGTGACCAGCTAACCCAAACCATCTGCCAATTGTTTTATTAAAAATTTTTTTATAAATTCGTAGACTCAGAATTAAAGCAAAAGCCAGTGTATGGGATATTACTTCAGACCTGTAACGCAAATGCGACCACTGTTTTGATAGGATGAGGAGGAAAAAGAAAATGTGATCTATTTGGGCCACTTATTTACCATGAAAATCAATTTTGATCCGTTTTAAAATCTCCTCCCCTCAAAGAAAAACAAACTCTAGTTTTATCTTCCCCCCTTCACTTTAACTAGAAAATAGAATGCTAAGAGAACTAGGAAATGAACCCCCAACTAGATAACAAGTAAAAATGAACACCTGGGGTTTCATGATTTCTAGCTCGGTGACCTGAAGCAGGTCATGTTTCTGCTCTCAGTTTCCGGACCTATAAAAGGGCCCGTCTCCCTAGACGACCATGTGGATAATTTGAGAATGTGAATGTTGGCTTCCAAACTCTAAAGCCCTCTACAAAAGTTATTTATGATGGTGATTATATTGTAATGGTGATAAGACTCCTCATGGGACACATAAACTGTCCCTTCTCGTTCAGTGGAGAGATTGCCCTCTATGCTTCCCTCATCTGTGTGTCCCAAAGTCCTTCTCCAATTAAGTTCTTGCAAGCTGCCTATGGGAAGGCCCCCGATAAGCAGTGTAATCTACTCTCTGAAATTCCCAAGGCCAAACACAATTACTGTAATGCATCTGTTGTCAAGTTACCCC